CCGAACCCCCAGCCCCCACCCTCTGCTCTGTTCGATCCCGTCTCCCGCACCGAAGCAGCAGCTCTGCTCCATCCCGTTTCCCGCCCGCATCGAAGCCGCAGACTCCCTCTTCCTCCTCGCCTGCTCGATCCCACCACCCACGCCGAATCCCCTCACCTCTTCTGTGAACGTCGAAGCCCACTCCTCTTCTGCGGACGTCGAAGCCCTCGCTCCTCTCTGCGAAGACCGAAACCCTTGCTCGCTTCTCTCAGCCTCTGCTTCCCATTTTGCCTTAAACCATTTGCCCTCCCAACTGAATTTTCAGCGAATCACGATCGTTTTTAGCAAGGGGGCAGTGGCCAAATCTTAACAAACAGAACCAAGGTGTCCTTTTATTTCCTCTTGATCGAAAAAAGCTCTCCTAAAGGTATATCTTCTCCCAGAACAAATCTCTGTATGATTTTCTTTTATTTATGAAAGCATGCTAGTGTTTGATACTTCTAAAATAAAATGAAATGTGTATGCAGGAGATGCTTGTATGAAACACAATAGATTCTACTTGATTTTTGCTATTTTATTTCGATATTTGTGTGGGATGTGTCTTGATAAATTCATTAGGACATTCATGCAAAATTTTCTTGACGAATTCTTCTATCCAAGCTGATGTATTGTAAATCGTAACAAATCATATATGGGTTTGTCAATGGTAATCGAAATTTCACATTCATGCATTTGCCTTGTAGTTGCATGCCATAAATGCTTGTAATAAAAGTGATGAATCTCTTTGGTTATATATATTCGGAATGTTAGATTATTGCAAGATTACATGAATTGTGGTGTTGATATTGTGTTTCCACTTGCATGCATATGTATCATCCAGTTCTCATGAATTTATATGTCTTACACTTGAAATTTACTCTTGCATTTATACAACACAATATTTCAACTGTTTTGGAGTTATCGCGAGCGTCGATTTGGGGCTTAACATATGGCATTTGGAGTTGTTTTATGTGTTGTCTTTGAGCTTCTAAAATGTTGTTCGAAGCTTTTAAAAGGGGCTGATTTGAGAGCTGTTTTGAAAGTGTGGTATTGGGTTTATATGGGTGTTGTTTGAAGATTTTAGAAGTGTTGAATTGGAGTGTTATAGAGTGCTATTTGAGTGCTGAAATTGTAGTTTGGGCTGTTGTAGGTAGCTTACAAGTGCTGCGAACTACTGATTGGATGTGTTAAAAATGCTATGAAAGCTTTTGGAGTGTTGTGAGAGCTATTGGGTATTATTTGGAACATAGTTAAATGTTGTTTGGGGCATTGTGGGCTAATTTTGGCATGGTTTTGACACCGTTTGGGCATCATTTTAGCATTGTTTTGGGGCTGATTTTTAGAGTTTTGCCCACTGTTTCGAGGCTGATTTTGATAGTTCTATCTATTGTTTTGGGGCTGGAGTTGGAGAGCTTTATTTACTGTTTTGGGGCTGGGTTTATAGAGCTTTGACTATTGTTTTAGGGCTGGATTTGGGAGCTTTATTTACTGTTTTAGGTTTCACTTGATTATCATTTAAACGCTTTTAAATCAACCCACCTACATTTTTTTTTTCTTCCCCTTTCGGCTTTGCTAGTTTTAGAGGTGAGTCGACCTCTTTCTTATTTTGTTTTGTTTATTTTTAAATGGTCAAGTCAAAAAATGAGAATTTCTGATTTAATTACTTGGAAAACACTTAATTGGGGGTAGAACATCATTTTAGGCACAAGCTAAATTATAGACTTCTTAGATTTTAGGAGCACACCCTAGGTGAGAGTCCATTCACCTAGCCCTTAATGTAGGTTTCCTAGAGTTTTATATATGGTTAAGTCATAAAGATGAGGATTGATAATTTAATTAATTGGAAGATATAGAAAATCTTAAATCACCTTAAGCATAAGTTAAAGAGTAGACTTCCTAGAGTTTTAGTTCTTAAATCACCCTAGGTGAGAGTCCATCCACCTAATCCTCAGCATGGTCTTCATAGATTTTAGGAACACAATCTAGGTGAGAGTCCATCCACCTAATCCTCAGCATGGTCTTCCAAGATTTTAGGAGCACACCCTAAGTGAGAGTTCATCCACTTAATTCTCAGCATGGTCTTCCTAGATTTTAGGGGCACGCCCTAGGTGAGAGTCTATCCACCTAATTATCAGCATAGGCTTTCTAGATTTTAGGAGCACACCTTAGGTGAGAGTCCATCCACCTAATTATCAGCACAGATTTCTTAGATTTTAGGAGTACACCCTAGGTGAGCGTTCATCCACCTAATTTTTTAATAAATAATGAAACTTGGCACTTGACCCTGATTCACAAACTGATCAAGACACTGGACACCAGGATGCACCGCGACATAGTTCATGTTTCTCTAATTAAATCAACAGTGAAATTCTCATAATGACTTAACCTACAACTACAATGAAACCCAGTGCACCACCCAGTGCACCAGGATTTGAGCTTAGATATTACACTCAAATCCTCCTGACAATTGAGGAAATTTGTTAACGCCATGTATGGATCATCGGACTAGGATAAGTCTAGGGTCTAGGTGGCGAGGGCGATGATGACATTGCTTATGTGTGCATAAATGAGGGATACAAAGTGAAATTATTAAAATAATATCTCCTACTTCAAGGATCTTCAATAAGGGAGAGGGAATGATTCATGATACTATTCGCCGATACTTGGTGGATCGTTGCCCTCGACACTCTTAGGTTGTCAGTAGTTCTAGCATGATTAGAGTGACTAGTCTGTGGACTGTACGACTTTACAAAATATTT